ATATACACATACACATATATATATATATATTGTATATTGAAAGAGTATTTTTTTTGCAAATTAAGTTTAGATCGTGACGCGGTACGGCCGAAAAGTTAACACATTAAGAATTTTGCCACTAAGAAGCCGAAATTGAACTTTTATAAAATATATGTACGCTACACAATCTGATTTTATAAACAATACAAAGAGTAAAAACAAGTTGACATAAACTGAAACATCTCGCAAAGTGTGCTTAGTTTTCTTAACCTAGCCACTATGCAAATGTGATTATAATAATCAATAATAATAATACTTAAAATTTATATTGTTTTGAATTAAGAACTTGAAAAGAAAATAAGTTGCGGAAATTAAAATTCATATTTTGAAAATAATAATAATCAAATAACACGTAAAAGAGATTAAAATGTTTATCAAATTCCAGGAATTTCATTTTATTACAAAATATAATCTTTTATCTTAAGCATTCTTCTCATTTATTCATTCATCTCCATTAGCTATAATTTTCCTTTTAATCAGTTCATATTTATCAGTCTATATGTACTCTTATTGTTTGCGCTTATCTTTCCCGTTTCAGCCACTAATCCAAGGCAGCTTTAGAAAACTTCACAGCTTAAATACCACAACGTAGACCTCCACTAATAATGATTACCAAAAGACCACGCCAAACTGCCAAGCTAGGCACAAATTTTCAACTACAACAACAGGTCCTGTCGTTCCTATAATCTTCCTCTGCCCCTATCCTCATCCTGTTCAGGTTCAGTTTAAGCGGAGCAACGGCAGAGCGCACAGCGCAGCATCTTTCTTATTAAGTTGTTTTCAAAACTAACTGCAAAAGTTGAATTATAAGCCGCCAAATGATGTCTGTCGCCTATGCAAACACACTAACACACAGTGAGAGAGAGAGAGAGGGGGGGAGAGAGAGGGAGTCTGTCCCAAAAAGAACTTCACAGTTGCCTGCCTGGGCACCCTCAAAATGTGGAGGCACTTAAGATGCTTAGCGCCATGGCAAGCGAAAATAATGACGCTCATAAAAACTAACTAAACAGAAAAATAAAGCAAACAGCATCAAAGGACGACAACGTGAAATACAGTTATATAGACAGCAAGAACTTAGAGCGAGATGCTCGGGTTCTTGTGGCAGATAGATGGAATCCGCCTGTTGGCTGTTACAATTATACCCTATAAGGGATTCGGAGTAAATGGATATAGGCATTTAACTACGGATTTATAAACGACAATTTAAGACTACTTTTATAAAGATTTTCTTTTTTGCAGATATAAACTTTTAACATATTAATATTACTTTGCATACGAATATAATAAGTTCTGATTGATTTTATTGATAAATAAATTTCTCCTACTTTTCATAAGTCTCACATAACATTCTATTCATTCTTATATTAGAGCCCTATATATTTGTATATCTTTCAATAACAGGGTATTTCAGAACCAATCCATGGCTTAAACTTGCCTCTTGCTTGTTTTTAAGCTGTGCGCGCTCGGAATGACAATGATAATGATGTGCGATAATGTTGGTAGTTGTTGTGTTTGCTTTGTTTATTGTTTTAGCCTCAGCGACAAATACTATGCACAATGATAATGAAGCCAATCGTAATGATGACGCCGATGCTGATAATGATCATTTCGTTGTTTATTATTGTAGCTTAGACAAGCTTCTGCTAAAGGATTAGTTGAGCCGCCTACGAGACACATTATAATTATTGCAGCAGCCGATTGCCACGCCCCCTCAACCAATCTGATTTAGTAGATGAAGAAAAGGGAGTAGGAGTAGAAGTTGGAGTAAAAGTGGTATTAAAAGTAGGACATGAATTAGGAGTAGTCCCATGAAGTCTTGATTTATTTATTAGCCGCGGCCTATGCAAGATTCCCTAATTCCTCTAAGCAATTTCATTAATTGATTTGAGCCGTTTGCATTTCCCATTTTCTTTTTAATTTTCTCTCGCTTTTCGTCTCTCGTTTTGCTTTAGGTTTTGGCATTGGTCCAACGAATTTGTACCGTGATTGAAAGCCTCTTTCCTGATTTGGATTGCGTGTTGCAATTCTTCTTTTTTCTCTGTTGGATTTATCTTGAAATCAGTGACCAAAGGGAGTATATTAGTTGTATGAAGTGAGCCAGAGTTGTTTGTGAGTTTATTTAGATTATCGTTTGTAACAGGAGATTTGTGTATACAGCCAAAAATAATTAAGATTAGAAAATTCTCATTACCGAACACTCTAAATAATTAATTTTTTGTCTATGAAACCCTAAAAATTTTTAACAAGAAACGAATGCGTTCCACTGAAGATCAACATTGAAGTTGTGATTAACGCTAGTTCATTTTAGCATTCATATAAGAAAGTAAGCTATAGAAGACAGCTATCAAGAAACTATGAACGAGTATTACGCTTTCAATTATACCCAACTGCAGCATTTTGGCTTGCTTTTATTTTTATTACATTGCTCTGTATATTGGCTTTGCTTTTGCTCTCCCTGCCAATTTTAGCAAATGATTTTCTTGGCACAACTTTTATTTTGTCTATTTAAATTTTAACGAAATTGTTGCTAAATGACATGCACACACACAAACAAACAGAATGAAGCACACACACACACACAGTTTCAATTCCGTCGCCTTTCGTAGGCTCATTTCTCTGGTGCTCACGTGCGTCTCAAATTGTATTTCAATTGGCATTTTGTTAACAAAGTTTACAGGTATCAACTTCTGAAATGGAAGTAATTGACGTTGAAATTGATTGCTATTGTTATGGAAATTGCCGAGCTAATGGTACAGGTTAGATACGAGTATCTGATATCCGATATTCGAGAAACCATTTTTGTTAGCAAAAATAAAACTTGCCTGAATATACAATGTGATGAATTCATCCCGACCACCTCTAATTAAGTCTCAATTTCGACTGCAACACACTGACATGGTAAAAATTGATATCAAATACCCCATTGCAGTCATTCCCAATTGAAAGCTGTCTAAACAATGTAAATGAATTTACTTAAGCCAATTCCACAGCGAGTTGCTCACCTGGCAATGCTCTTGACGCTCTAATTATAAACGCAACTATTTCTGGCCCTAACCCATTAACATTTTGTGGAGCACTGCAAGAGTTCAGTCCAATGGCTATTTGCAGCCTATAAATATTTGAAATGCGGCCAAACTTAATTAAGGCATATCAAAAGTTGCCAAAGCAAAGCTCCAATGCAATTATGCAACTTTTGCAACAATTTTTCAGATTGTTCACGTTGTTTATACGAGATGCAGGCGGAGGCGGACGCAGAGGCGGAGGTGGAGACGGCGCATAGCCAAAAGTTGAGAGCTAAGTTTACTCACCTGCTGCAGCTCAACTTTATTTCGATCTTTCATTCTTTTTTTCCTGCTTTTTGTGGGCAACTTGTTTTAAGCGCTTTTGGGAACTTATATATTATAATTTCATAACAAATTTGAAAGAGACGAAAAGGCTAAAGAGTTTCGCTTCGGCTGAGTATTAAAGAAAACAACCTGCAAGTAAAACATAATGCCATACATGTCGTATACACAACATCATCAATTTCACTTGACTGTTGTCTGGTCCAGAGATCAGAGTCGTCGCATTGTAAACAAGCACAGACAACATAAATGAACATATGTTTTACAAAGAGGATCAAAAGTCGGGGAGAAAAAAAAACATAAAAAAAAGGAGCTTTACATGCACCACGCAGAAAAGAAAACAGTAAAAGAAAATCCTTCAAGACAAAATCAAAAATAAGAACAAAAAATGAATAAAAAGAGTAAAATAGAAACGCACTTTATGCACATATTATTGAAGTCAACATAAAAATGTACATTGAAAAGTACAACCGAACAAGACATCAAATATATAAATATGAAATATAAACAATAAAAATCACAATAGACGAAAACAAACAAAACGGAAAGCGGATAACAAGTGGCGAATAAGGAGACATTTCCCATTGCTAACAAGCATAAAAAGCGAGTAAAACAACTTGTGCTAGACTCAGGAATACCCTGTTAAGTACATACTGCCAAAGATTACGGATGAGAATAATCTAATCTAGTCTAATATTTATACATGCAGAAAACATATATTTACAAGAATATCTTAATATCGATATATATCGATTACCCATGAATTCTAAAAATCGAAATCTCTAAATGTTATTTGTGTTGATAGCCTTTTCTAACCAGATAGTTATAAATTTTTAAATCACTAAATAATATATATTATATTATATTTTAAAATAGCTATTAGTTAATCGATAATGTTTTATTTTAAGAAAAGCTTATTTTTATTCTGGTCGAGTTAAATTTATTGAAATTTCGAATTGATCGATATTTGTACATTGTATACAATTTTACCATGTTTTTTCCTATTAACATCTAGATAGACCCTAACGACAAGACTTGTGCTTTATAGTACCTTTACTGACTTTATATATTATTTATGGCATACCCTTTTATTACTTGTCCATTAGTCATTCTGTTATACATAGATATAAGTAGGGTATCAAAAGCGAAATGGAAAGCTGCTTTAGCAACTCCTCGCCATATCAATGCAATTTGTATGCGACTAAAGATTCGCCTCCGGCATAACAAGAAGAAGTCGTGTTCTACCATCACCCACTTTTCTGACCCGTAATGAAATATATGTACAAATGTATATAAGTTGGTAGCACGAAAGAGCAACAGCAATAGCAGCAGCAGCAGTAGAAGCCGTAGCAGGAGCGATAGCAGCTCGAGGTCATAAATAATATTATTATGGGTTCAGTTATTGGCATTAGGAACTTGTGTTTTGTCAAGGCAAACAAAGTGCGTATCCTGGTCTCATTGTGTTTGCATTTATCTGCTGTGTATCCATGTTATTGGGTGCTATTTAACATCTACAATGTCACCGCTGTGGCGCCATTATTCATGCAACAAGGTGGCCGGAGAGACGCCTCTAATTAAGGCTAATTAAATGCTTTTACCCACAAGGTAATTGATCAATGTAAAAGAACTTTCGTGGGACGTTAAGATTATCAGTTGAGTTAAAATACATTTTTTACAAAAATTTGCGCAGTCGTTAGCCTGTTCAGTTACATTTCAATTAAATTGTAGCCACGTTTTCAATTAAAAAATCTGCGTCTAGTCATCTGTTTGCTATTTATTGCATTTCCATAATATAGCAAAAATGAAAATAAAACTACATATATTTTACTGGCAATACACTGTGAGGGCAAATAGGTGGACAGTTTTATTGACATATGGACGGACAGCAACAACGGCCAACAGATAACACAAAACACACATACATTTAAGCAATTACGCACACACACACACATTTACATTGCATAGGTATCAAGGTTGATTTATAAAGTTAAAAAAAAAAAAAAAAAACGAGCAGATGGTTTTAATTTAATTAAACATAATAATTCTCTTTTATGTGAGACTGCATGAAATGGTAATTAAAACTATAACAAAAAAGTTGTGATTGAGTTGGAATAAAACAAAAAATAAAACATACATTGATATACGCTTAAGCACACAGACTTATTAACTAATCACCACTTAGCCTCAAGTACTCACATAAATTGCTAGAGACACAAACAAAAATGTAAATAAAGATATATTGTTGCGATATATATCGACTAAGAGACACCCACAAAGAAAGCGAAACACGTTACGAGAGACGTAATGACATAAGCGTTACACTTTTACGTAGTTTTCAAATTTTTTTCTTTTTGTTTCCTATTTGCAAACGACAATTACGCAACGGCACTTGTAATATAGTATATAAATATATATATATTTTTTTTTTTTTTTTTTTTTTTTTTTTTTTTTTTTTTTTTTTTTTTTTTTTTTTTTTTTTTTTAATTTTCGTATGCTTTGTTTTTGTTTGGATCAAATTGAGAGACGCACAAAACGAAACGCAGACACACACAAAGTATACGAGATAGAAATATGCAAGTGGGGAAAACGTTAACGTTATCAAGACAACAGACTCTGACAAACTAAAAATCTCAAATTCGAATTCGAGTACTGCGACTGGGGCATGTGACAATTGTTGATGTTGCTGTTGCTGTTGTTGATAATGCTGATGATCACTGACCGGCGAACGCCTGAATTAAGAGGCGGCATCTATCGCTGAGAGCGTGCGCGGGAGATAAACACGACGCGAGCTATTTTCGAAATTGATAAGCAGCAAAATCGATCGTCGGAGCATTCGAACTTTTCAATACGATGTGTATGCAACGTAATCATCGAAAAAAAAAAAAAAAAAAACAAAAATACATACAGTAAAGTGCAGCTGCCTGCTTACTTATCAGTTAAGCATTTGCTGCAGCTGAGAGAGTATGCATGTGGAATAGAAATTGATTCGGATGTGAATGAGGTAAGAATGAAGATGACTAGGTAAATACTTTTTGAGAGTGGAATGAAATAGTATACAAACATATTATGTTTAATAGAAATTTCAACTAACAGAAATTTAGTTTGACAAAAAATAAATAAATAAAAATAAAAAATAAAAAGATCTAGAAGGGTAAAATATGAACGGGCTATAAAACCGAACAAACTTAGTTGTGATTCAAATGTATCGAAACCAAGCCTAACTTAAATATATAAAAGTGTATGCAATCAAATTTATACAATAAATAATAAAATAATTCCAATTACATTTTAGCCAGGAAATAGACTTTATCTCAAGAGATCAGTAAGATCACGTCTATATCAATAAAATTCACAAAATTAATATTAAAACAATTCATTAATTACATTAAAGCCAGCATTACAATAACTCTAAAAACCCCTCAACTCAACAGATCTGTTTACAGATCACGTCTATAGCTGCCCCATAAATTCCCAACTTCTAGTCAAACTAGTTTCAACTCTCCTTCCACAAAGACTAATCACCTTTATTGACCATGAAAGGACTGAAAGACAGCATAAAATCGATTTAAAGCACTACGAGACAACACACATCGATCAATGCACACAGGCGGCTGCAGCGTTGACCCCTGCGTTTCAGTCGATGGCTACTTAAAAACTTGAACAGCCGTAAATTCGCTACAACCAGGCTATGAAATTTAATAGCAGACATCGGGCAAGCTGAGCGAGCAGAGAGGCCAAGCCACGTATTGACCATTGGCCGCTCGAGCAGTGCGAACGTCTTTTCGGTACAAATACGCAACTGTATTAGCTCACGTAAAAGGGCACTCACTGGGTGGCTGGGTGGTTTTACGTATGTGTGTGTGTGTGGGTGTCCAGTGCAGTTTCTGTACGTATTATTGACTTTTATAGCTGTGCCGTTCATCGTCTCCGGCGCAGCTCGAGAGTTTGCTAGCGTGTGTTTACATTTTCAACTATGTAATTCGTTGCATTTTATTGCACATTTTATACTCGACGTGTGTGCGTGTGTGTATGCGTGTGTGTTTTTCTTGGTGTTAAATATTTATGACTAGCGTTGGGTACATTTGCGCGAGCACTGGGCAGGAGCTTTTCATTTCTGCACAAGTTTAACGAAGTGTTAAATGGGCTGGACCCAGACAAACGCCCCAATACCTTCATCATCATCATCATCAGCATGGTCATCGTCATAATCATTGTGTTGGTAAAGCAGCCTTTTTATCGAAATTTGTCACGCACCACATTGGGCTACGAATGGATTAATATCGGAGCGACAACAAAAGATTTTCATTTTAAGGATGATAGGAAAATGTTTGCGACATGAGTCGCATGAATGACAGCACATAGAAAAAAGTATAGAATCTCTTTCTATATATATGTGTGTGTATAGATTTTTAGCCGTAGTGTTGACAAGTGTTGGGCACGTGTTGCTAATACCTGTGGATGACAATAACGGCATTACTTTTACTTTTGCCTAACCTTTTGCACTGCTTTTCTTTTCATTTTTTCGGGGAGTAGGCTTAACTAGTTTATTGGTTTGTGCAGCTCAGCCTGGGGTGATAAATGCTGAAAATTATTTAGCTAAATGTTACGCATTTGTTGGGCTTTCTTTACACCACAATGAGTTGGCATAATGGGGCAGCATAATTGAATGAATAAGTGATTTATTCCATATATAGGGGCATGGATGTGCGATAGATAGATGATAGGTCAACTTTGGAATGATTCTCGGTTAACTTAAGTTGGCCAAGAAATTGTTATAAAAAATTAATTAATGCAATATTTTTAACGTGAAAGCAGGGCAGAAGGCGACTAAAGACTTTTGATCAGATGGATGAACTGACTTTTATATATGTATGTAATAATGATTGAAATAGTTACTCTTCGCTCTTCACTTCCCAGTAACTCCTAGTCGGGCACACTCTATTAGAACACGCCCACTTGTTACACATCACACGGCAATGGCTATAAAATATTCACTCCTCAATCAAATATAATAGACATCACTAAATCTTTCTTAACTATGCCTAATCTCTCTTAATAACTATCCACCACCAAATACAATAAATTCGATAGGCACAATCAACCCTTGGCTAAAAATTTCGACTCGAAACGAAATGCTAGCCACAGGTTAGACAATTAAAGCTATTATATAGTAAAATCATGATATCAGCTCTTAAGCAACTGCAGATATTCCCACAATGCCAATCAATAACAGCAAATGTACCCAAGGACTTAATAGCTCTACGTAACGCCAACAACCCCTTGAATACACACACACACATATACATACGCACGTACTGCCACGCCTTTTGGTGCTCTGGCCAGAAGATTGCAAATAATGACCCACAATTTGCAACACCCATGAGTCGAGCCACATTTTAGAGTGTTATAAAGAAATTAGCTATCATTTAGCCTAATGAGCATAATAATAGCAACCTAATGGCTAACCACAAAGAACAGAATCGAACCACTGGAGTAGAGCTGCTCGGATGACCAGAGAAGCGCCCCTTATATTAAACAAACATTGACCGAAGTGCGATTAACTTGCGAAAGTGTTATAAATGTACAGCCATTTATATTCTATATGTATGTATATGCGTATGTGTGTGTGCGTATGCGTGCAAGAGAAAAGAATGTAGATAGAAATGTATATAGACTTTAGTGTTAGCTTTTAATGGCTAAAGCCCAGTGTCAACAATGATGAACATAAATATTGTTGGCGAGTCAAGGCCAAGGCGAATTTGCCGGGAATTCTGTCTCAATTAATTTAGCCGACTGCCAATAATCATAAATAAACAAAAATCCAAGGATGTGGGGATATAAGAAGAAAAGCTGCCTACACACAAACACACAAATGTTCATGACAGAGTTTTAATTATTTTGCCAGATCAAGCACACACACACTCACATACACACATCAGCAAATTTAATAAAGAATAATTAGAAGGCAGCCAGGCAGGCAGACCAACAGCCGACAGCCTGGACTAAACACGTTTGGAATGTGAAAAATAATAATTAACAAAAACTGACAAAGCAACAGCAGGAGCAACATTGGCTCTCCCATCACAGCTTCAGCTTCCCAATGCCACTCCCACACACAACCAGAGAAATGGAACGCAATAATGGCATATAATTAACATATAAATTAAAGACTAATACAAATTTACGCGGCAATAAAATGCAAAAATTGCCACACATATTTCGACATTTATTTGCGATGCGATACTCTAAATGTCTGTCTCTGATGAGGTGGGCGCATTTTCTACCACAATTCATTTGAATTACAGTTCAACAACAGGTAATTAATTGCCAAGAACCCATTTGACCAATAAATTTCTCAGTAAATATTAAATACGTAAAATTAGAAGAAGAAAAATACAAATATGTTAATAAATGCTATGTTTAAAATTATAAATTAAAATTATACATTTTTTTTT